GTATCAATCAAGCAAATGCAGATTGCATTGGGTTGGATTGGGGTTTTTGGTAGATGAATTTGTGTGAGGGGAGGGGGAGCAGCACACATGTGCAAGTGTGGAGTTTAAATCAGGGCCTGGCTGTTGACTCTGAGCTCTTTGGCTCAAGGCTACTGCTCTACTGCTTGAGTCACACCTCCACTTCCAGCTTCTTTTTGGTGCTTAATTAGAGCCTGCCTAAGCTGGCTTCAAATGGTGATCCTCAGATATCAGCCTCCTGAATAGCTAGGATTACAGGCATGAGACACTGATGCCCAGCTAGTCAGATATTTTTTACATCACTGAAGCTAGTTTAAGGAACATTATCTCTATCTTCCTGCCCTCCAAAAACTCAGGAACTCCAAGAGAGGACTATGAAGTAAATTTTTCCCACAACTGGGAATTCTGCAGCCATGGTTATAGGTTCCTTGATAATGGAGCAAAGAAAGATACCTCAGAGAGGGGAAGTCTCATACAAGCCTTACAAGCCATTACTTGTATTTTTCCAGGACTTCTATTGTACAGAATTTCCCAAAGTCAGATTGTTTCCTCACCAAAAATGGCCAGTCCCAGCTTCACTGAGATCAGTTGGCTTGGTTGGTTAAGGCTGAGCCATGCGGGCAAATAAAAACTTTGTTCATCATGAAAGAAAGATTTAAATACACAGGAACAAAATAGATTCTGACAGAGCTCATTCAAAGCCAGACACCAGTGGCTCACACCTATAAACCTAGCTACTCAGGAGACTGAGATCTGAGAATAGATGTTCAAAGCCAGCTGGGGCAGAAAAGTTCATGAGACTCTTATCTCCAAATAACCATTAAAAAGCTAGAAGTGGAGGTGTGGCTCAAATGGTAGGGTGCCAGCCTTGAATGAAAAAGTTAAACTAAGGGACAGAGTTCAAGTCCAAGTACAGGCACAAATAAAAAATAAAGCACCAAGAGATTTTATCTTTCTTGCTGTTCTTTTTAATGTACTTATAATGTACTATGTGATTTTCTTTTTGTTTCTTTGTATGTTCTTCCCCCATGGCATAACCCCTGTTGTCCCTGTATTTGATTCCGGTGTCCTGCATTTTGCATATACATTTTCTAATTTGGGGAGGGGAAAGGAAATAACAAAATGCTGAGGTGGGGAGGAGAGATGGTAGGGGGAAAACAAAGGAGGGGGTAACAATGCTCCATAGGAAATGAACTCATTACCTTGCTTATGAAACTGTAATCCCTCTGTACAGTATCTTTTATTTATTTATTTTTTCAGTCGTGGGGCCTGGGCGCTGTCCCTCAGCTCTTCAGCTCAAGGCGAGCACTCTACCACTTGAGCCACAGCGCCACTTCCAGCATTGCATTTTCTGTTTATGTGGTGCTGAGGAATCAAACCCAGGGCCTCATGCATGCAAGCCAAGCACTCTACCACTGAGCCACCTTCCCAGCCCCCTGTACATTATCTTTACAATTAAAAAAATATATTTAAGAAGAAAACAAAACCCAGAAAACCCACCTCACTGAAATGCCACGCCCATCCTAACCTGCCACCTGCAGCGTCACGGAGCCTTCTCGACTCAGGTTCCTGATCCGGATCTGACACTGGTAGGGTCCTCGGTCCTCAAGGCTCACATTGTGGATCTTCAGCGCAACACTTCCCTCCTGGGCATTTTCCACTAGCTCCGTCCTGCCCGCATATTGCGGCATCAGATCTTCGTCCCTGCTCTCCCCGTGCCGGAACACGTGCACGGCCTGCGGGCGCTGCAGGCGCGAGGGCCGCTGCCACCTCACCTCCTCGGGCACCGACCCTGGCCAGAGCGCCAGCGGGCAGGGCAGCTCCACCGTGTCCCCTGGCCGCGTCAGGTGGAACCCGCCCGCATCGCCTGTGGGACGTCAACAACAACAACAGCTAGATGTGCGGGAAGACCTAGAGAAGGGACTGGCAGGGATGTGGGAGGAAGAGTTGGGTGAGAAATGAGACAGAGGAACTCTTGGGGAAGGGCAGCACCAAGGAAGAGATTAGGGAAAGAACAGCACCCCAGAAAGAAAGAAATTCTCTGGTCAAGCTTTCATGTTCTTGGGAGTCACCATCAGACATCTTAGGCAGGGAAAGACATTCTGAAAAACCTACCTGACACCTGTGCAGACACCTGGAGGAAGAGGGTGAGGAGGCAGCCAAGGAGCCAGGAGCCAGAGGAACTTGCCATCCTCATCCACACTAGGGCAGAGACCGGAAGAGAGCTGATGAGCTTGGCCTGAGGGAGGGTAGAAGCTAGGAGCTGGAGCTGAGACCCAAGGGGCATGGGCCACACCGGCCTGGCTTACAAGGCCAGATCTACCATATCCCCTGGTGGTTGTGGGTGAATAAACTTGAGACTCTATTTCTTTACCTTTAAAAGGTTGTAATGGCCATGCCTCCCTGCAGGACTACTGGGGGACCAAGGGGAAGCACTCACACAGAGACTAACACCCAGGATCCGTCTACAAATGCACAAAGGAGGATGATAGTAGGGATGAGTGAGGAAACAATGAGTGTGACTTAAAAGATGGAGGAGGAGTCTAGAAGGGTGAGAATTTATATCCAAAATGAATCAAGTAAGTCCTGATCGGAGCACTGGCTTCCTTTTGCTTTTAGTGTCTTGGTTGGCCTTGGGAAGTGCCTGTTTCAAGGCAGACTTTACCCATGCTGCAGCTTGAGCCCTTTTCTACAGCCTTTCAAGTTGGCACAATACCAAGTAAAGATGCAGGATCCCTCCTTGCGGCATGAAGACCATGATTAAATGAGGGTCTTCAGACAAAACCCATCTAGCTATCTCATCATGTGTCCCTTTTTGTGTCTATTAAGTGACCTATTGGCCATTTTTTTGTCCTTTAATGTGTTCTTCTAAGGAGAATGATTTCTCTACCGACCTGAGGATCCTGAGAAAGTGAAAGAGCTAAAAAGAATGAAGAGGCAAGACTGTAGCTATTAACCAATGGCTACTCCTTATGGGTTTCCTTGTGTATGTTCCTTTGTAGTTTCCAATTTTTCTGCCTCAAACTTGCACCACCTTGGTTATCAGAAGACCAATCATTTACTGAAAAGGGGAGGATAAGCATGACCAGGAAAGGAAGCAGAAGGAGCAGAAGCAGTTATGCTGGAGGGCCTCACAGGCCCTATGACATGCAGCTGAAAGACAGCAGGGCCCTCTTGTTTTATTTTCCTGTGCACTGTAAGAACTGTCTGGACCCCATATGATCTTGGGGCTTGTTCTTCTAATCTATTTGTCCAAGATGACCACTTTGTCCATCACATTCTCATGCAACATACTATGCCAACATTATAGTAACTAACATCATATTTGTGTATGATTGGGTTAGCACTACCTCATTATTATGTTTTAAATGGTCATGTTGTTTTGTATTAATAATAGTACCCACTTATTGCGTCTTAGGTGTTCTACTTATATTGTCTTCAGTCCTAACAATAACTCTGAATGTAGGCCTTGTTTCCTTTCTGGCTTAGGAGCAGCAATTGTATGCATATCAAGGCACTGTACAAGCAAAAATGCCAGGACTGTTTTCCTGGAAATTGAATGTGAAACAGAGAAATTGAATGAATGCATGAATGAATGAATAAATGGCTACATATCAGGAGTTACAAAATAATATGAATATGAACTTTTCCCAGGCCTACTTCTCAGACCTGAACTTCCACATGGAGTGAGGAATTCCCAACTTAGAGACTCAAGCTCTGGCTCTCACACTTTATGAAGAAAATTTCTCCTACACATACAGTTTCACATCTTAATCTTCATCACATATGTCATAATTTTGGACTTTTTCTGTTCTTATTGTAAGAAAATCTGGAAATTATCTTTCCCATTCTCCCTAAAAGACAAGCAAATTAAATCTACAATTCCTTTGCTTAGGGATAATGTTTCTTCAAATCTATTTTTATGAATATATGTAACCTTTTCTAAATTTTTAAGATTATCTTTAAGTAGCTGTACAGAAGAATTACAATTCAACCTATCAATTTGAGTATAACACATCTTGATTCAATGTCACCCCTTCCATCATCCTCCCCCATTGTATGCAACCTTTTAAGAAAATAAGACTGTTAGCTGGTCGTATGGCTCAGCAGTAGAGCATCTGCCAGCAAGAATGAGGCCAAGAGTCAAGAAACAGTAAAGCTTAGTTACACGTCAGCTCTCATGTTAATAATCATACCCATAATAATTAAATGAGAGTCTTCAGATAAAACCCATCCAGTTCTCTTGTCTTGTCATTTGTCCCTTTTTTTGTGTGTTAAGTAGAAGTTACCCATTGGTCATTTTGTCCTTTAAGGTGTTCTTGTAAGAATTATTTCTCGACTGGATCTGAGGATCTTGAGAAAGTGAATGAAGAGAAAGAAGAGGGAGAAGAGGAAGCAAACTTACCGATGTTGGAATCAGAGACCCTTGTCCTTTAGCACTAGAGCTGGAGTCTCTAAGTTGGGAATTCCCTCACCCCATGCAGAAAAGTTCAGGCATCAAGCAAGAGTATCAGGAAGAGCCTGAGAACTAGGTGTGGAAAAAGTTCATATTCTGTTCTAAAGACCAAAGCCCAAGGCAGGGGCTCTCTCTACCCAACAGTCTTCTGGCTACCCCTACAAACAAGCAACGCCCAGTCTGTCTGCCCTTGATAAAGGAACAGAGCAGAGAGGAGGATCCCTAAAAACGAGGGAAAACTCCTAGAGCTATTGGGTAGAAGGGACTGTTGTACATTGGCTTCCTTCTCCTCTAGAGCTAACCGCCAGCAGTTTCTCCTCTTCATACAATTTGATCCTATCACAACCTTTCTGAAAAGTTTTGACCTCTTTACTTTCAAAAGATAGTAAATTAGAAGATCCATTTAGTTGGTCAAAATATTTACCAATTAGCTCAATTCTTTAACTCACTCCTTTTATCTCCAGCTACACCTGATAAGTACTTTTCCACAAACTTGCTTTCTGTTCCTCAGCATTTGATAAACTCTTGCTTTACTCATACCCATAATTGTATATTCATAACATCCATAACTGTAACCTTGACAATACATTGTATGTTCATAGGTATCCTGCACTTTCAAAAAGATATGCCATATGTATAGGTTCCCTGTGATTTTCTTTTTTTCTCTTTCTTCTTGCTTCTCTCTCTCTCCTGTTTCTTTCTGTCTATCCCTTTCTTTTTCACTTAACATTAATTAGGAGATTCCCATGGTGGCACACATGATGCCCGCCTCAGCTCACCCATGCTAGGTATAGCTGTAAGCGATTTGCCTGTATGTCTCACACAGGCCATAGCATCTCCTTGCTTACTTGTTTGGAGCAGACTGCTTCACCTGCAGGAAGCCTAGGAGGTCACCAAAGCTAATGCCCAGGGACATCAATCAAAAGTGATGGAAATGTTCTGTGCTGTCTGTATGATTCTTCCCAGAGTTCCCTAGTGGGACTGAGTAGCTCAATAATGCATTTTTTTTTTTGTAGGTCGTGGGGCTTGAACTCTGGGCCTGGCCGCTGTCCCTCAGTTCTTCAGCTCAAGGCGAGCGCTCTACCACTTGAGCTACAGCGCCACTTCCGGTTTTCTGGTGGTTTATTGGAGATAGGAGTCTCACGGTCTTTCCTGCCTGGGCTGGCTTTGAACCGCGATCCTCAGATCTCAGCCTCCTGGGTAGCTAGGATTACAGGCGTGAGCCACCATCGCCCGGCTCAATAATGCATTTTATATTAGCTTTTTTCCTCTTTTCTTCTGCTATGTCTGCTTCCTGGGACTCACTTCCTAAAGAAACTCTTGCAATGAAGGATTTGTTTCACACAAATTAGGAGGGAATTCAGCCAGTGTGTAAAGCCCAGCATTGAAAAAATGCATATATATATATATATATAATTTATTTGTCATGGGAACTCTTAAATTCCTCTATTGTAGTTTTGTTTATTTCCTTGTAAAGATGCTGTACAGAGAGGTTACAGTTACATCAGTAAGGTAATGAGAACATTTCTTGTCGGACATTGTTACTCCCTCCTTTGTTTTTCTCCCACTATTTCTTCCCTCCCCTACCTCCCTTCCTCCTCACCCTCAAAGTTGTAAGGTTCATTTCCAACATAGTATCCTCTATTCTAGTTATTAAGACATATGTAATAAACTGTTATAGATTGAATTTGCCCTACTGTGCTGAACACTATTGTTGCTCTTATCTAACTACATTTTGGTACCTATTATCCAACATCTCTCTAAAATCCCCTTCCATACCAAGGTTGTTTTTTTGTTTTGGTTTTGGTTTTATTTTTCTTCTCTGATGGTACAGGGGATAGATGATTTCTCTGAAAATTAAGAAAGAAAAAGAGATGCAAACATAAATATAGATATTACTCATAATCCCAGAATCTAGTGATAACCTCTATAATATTTATTTTATTTATTTTTTGTCAGTTGTGGGGCTTGAACTCTGGATTCTGTCCCTCAGCTCTTCAGCTCAATGCAAGCACTCTACCATTTGAGCCACAGCAACACTTCCAGTTTTCTGTGGTTAATTGGAGATAAGCGTCTCACAGCTTTTCCTGCCTGAGCTGGCTTTGAACCATGATCCTCAGATCTCAGCCTCCTGAGTAGTTAGGATTACAGGTGTGAGCCACCGGCACCCAGCTTTTTTTTTTTTTTTTTTGCCAGTCCTGGGCCTTGAACTCAAGGCCTAGGTACTGTCCCTAAGCTTCTTTTGCTCAAAAATAGCACTTTGCCACTTGAGTCAGCACCACGTCTGTCTTTCTGTTTATGTGGTACTGAGGAATCAAACCCAGGGTTTTATCCAGGCTAGGCAAGCACTCTACCACTAAGCCACATTCCCAGCCCAATATTTTGATCTATTTTACTTTCATATCCCTTTCCCCACAAATTTAGGCCATGCTATCAACAACAACAACAACAATAATGTGTATGTATAATTGTTTCAGTCTCAACCATCTTGATTCTGACTTTAATTTATTAAAATTTTCTTTTGGGAGCTTATAATCCTTTATTAACCATACATCAAAATACAAACATTAACTTATAATGTTTTATTTATTTACTTTTGTTAGTCCTCAGGCTTGAACTCAGGGCTTGAGCACTGTCCCTGAGCTTTTGTGCTCAAGGCTAATGTTTACCACATGAGCCACATTCTACTTCTGGTTTTTGGTGCTTAACCAGAGATAAGAGTCTCAGGGACTTTCCTGCCAGGAAAGACTTTGAACTGAGATCCTCAGATCTCAACCTCCTGAGTAGCTAGGATTAAAGGTGTGAGTTACTGGTGCCCAGGTATTTTTGACGTTTTGAGACAGTGCCTTGCTATATAATCCATTCTGCCTTTGAACTTGCAATGTTGTGTGAGTCAGGCCTCCCACTCTCCATCTTCCTGCCTCCACCTCTTCAGTACTAAGATTATAGGCATTCACTACTACATTAGTCTGTCTTCTGAATTAAAAGGGGAGATGGAGCTCTAAACTTCCAGTTAAATAAACATGGATCAATGAACACAAATGTTCATCTCTATCTCCTGAAACTCCATCAAAATATAATTGTTGGAACAAACAAGAAAGTCCTATAAAGACACAAAGAATAGGCCAGAAAATAACTGTGGAATAGAAATTCGAAACACTTTTGAATGAAGGGAAGCAGATGGATGACTAATCGAATAGAACTAGGACTCTGACACAACTCCCTGCAAGGCTGGGGACAGTGGCAAGAACAAAACTGATTCTCAGCTGAGAACCTTCAGACTTGGGATGGGTGGACCCAGGACATGTTTTACCTCACTAGGTGGTTGTAAAGACTCAAGTAGCTCAAATCAGTCAAATATTTAGAGCAGTGTTTGACACTCAATGAATGATGACCACTATTATGGTTTGAGGAAAGACTCCAACTTGAAAGACAGAGATCAAAATAAACAAGATAGACAATCTAGAGGGAGGACAGAAAGAAAAAATAAAAGCAGTCAGTTACACTTAAGTTCTCATAAACTGGGAAATAAGAGAAGATCCTGACTCTATGAAAAAGAGTCAGGAAACAAAAATGCTTCCAGAAATTGAATGGGTTGTTTTGTTTTGTTTGTTAGTCGAGGGGCTTGAACTCTGGGCCTGGGTGCTGTCCCTGAGCTCTTCAGCTCAAAGCTAAGTGCTCTACTACTTGAATTACAGTGCCACTTCTGGTTTTCTGGTGGCTAATTAGAGATAAGAGTCTTAAAGACTCTCCTGCCCAGGCTGGCTTTGAGAGCCTCACATCTCAGCCTCCTGAAAATTTTTATAGTAGAGGGACTGGGGAAGTGGCACTTTTCTGAACTGTATTCTCAGCACTCCTTAAAAAAACACAAAATGTATTTTTTTTTAAAATAGGATTGAAAAAAAATCAATAGTGGATCTGGAGAATACAAATCAGTCTTTTATCTGGCAGACTAAACAAACCAAGAAATAGAACATTAGAGTGAAGATTTAAAAATAGGAGCCAACCATCCCCAAACTCTTAGAGCTTATAAACCACTTCGGCAAAGTAGCAGGATACAAAATTAACCCACAAAAATCAGTTGCCTTTCTGTACACCAACAATGTACAAGCAGAAAGAGAAATCAAGGAAAAACCCCATTCACAATAACTTCAAAAAAATAAAGTAGGAATTAACCTAACCAAAGATGTAAAGGATCTATTTCATGAAAACTATAAAAGCCTAAAAAAAAGGAATCATAGAGGATACCAGGAAATGGAAAGATCTCCCATGTTCCTGGGTAGGCAGAATTAACGTAATGAAAATGGCTATAATGCAAAAATTGATATACACAATCAATGCAATTCCCATTAAAATCCCAATGACATACTTTATTGAAATAAAGAAAACACTCTAAAAGTTCATATGGAGCAATAAAAGCCCTAGAATAGCCAAACTAATTCTAGGCAAAAGAAATACCACAGGAGGGATCACGATACCTGATTTCAAGCTCTACTATAAAGCCATAATAACAAAGACAGCTGGTACTGGTACAAAAAGAGACCCGAAGACCAATGGAACAGACTAGAGGATGCATAAATAAAGCCACATATGTACAGTCAGTTGATATTTGACAAAGGAGCAAAAGACATACAGTAGAAGAATCATAACCTCTTCAACTATTGGTGTTGGGAAAACTGGGTGGCCACATGCAGAAAATTGAAAGTGGACCCTAGCCTATCACCATGCACTAACATCAACTCAAAGTGGATTAAAGACCTTAACATCAAACCTGATACTCTGAAACTGCTGCAGGACAGAGTACGAGAGATACTTGAACTTATAGGCACAGGCAGGAACTTCCTGAACAGAGTCCTAGGGTCACAACAAATTGGAGAGAGACTGGACAAATGGGACTACCTTAAAATAAAAAGTTTCTGCACAGACAAAGAAATAGCAACCAAACTAGAAAGACATCCAACTAATTGGGAAAAAATATTTACCAGCAAAATATCAGACAAGGGTCCTAATATTCATTATATACAGGGAACTCAAACTAACCCCTCATAAATCTAACAAACCAATCATGAAATGGGAAAGGGAACTAAAGAGAGACTTCTCAGAAAAAGAGATAAAAATGGCAAAGAAACACATGAGGAAATGTTCATCATCCCTGGCTGTAAAGGAAATGCAAATAAAAACAACACTGAGGGAGGGGATGGTAGGGGGAAAACAATGGAGGGGGTAACAATGTTCAAGAGGAAGTGTACTCATTATCTCACTCATGTAACTGTAACCCTCTGTATAGTATCTTTACAATAAAAAAAAAAAGAAAAAATAATAATTAAAAAAAAAAAAAAAACACTGAGATACCACCTTACTCCAGTCAGAATGGCCCACATCCTAAAGTCAGCCAATGACAAATGCTGTAGGGGATGTAGAGAAAGAGGAACCCTACTGCATTGCTGGTGGGAATGTATACTAATACAACCACTTTGTAAAACAGTCTGGAGATACCTCAGAAAGCTAAATATAGACCTCCCCTATGACCCAGCCATACCACTCCTAGGCATCTACCCTGAGCAACAGGAACCAGTATACAAAGACACATGCACTTCCATGTTTATTGCATCACTGTTCACAATAGCCAAGATTTGGAAACAACCCAAAACGCCCTACTACTGATGAGTGGATCCAAAAGTTGTGGTACCTATATGTAATGGAATATTATGCAGCCATTAGAAAGGACAAAATAATGGCATTTGCAGGGAAATGGATGGAACTAGAGCAGATTATTTTGATCAAAGTTAGCCAAGAACAAAGAGACAAATGGCACATGTCTCCCTGATATGTGGATGCTAAAGCCAAAATACAAGAAGATATGGCAAAGTAACAGGACTCAAGAAACAAACAGCCACCCATTTGATCATATCATTGCTAAATGACTACATATTCTAGACCATATGTATGGTAGATATATGCACACAACAGAGGGAAGCCAGGAGGAGGAACAGAATAAGTAGGAACAGCCTACACTAAGCAAAAGGAAAGAAATGTAAACATTACCTGATGTGGAAAAAATAACTTGTATTGTCAAAGCTCATAGAATTCACAAGCTGTATAGACCATGGTAATGACAATTTGCCTTGTGAAGGTTAAAATGTGTTTGTGACTTTAACTATCACTGTGAAATATGTGAAATTTATGCAATCACCTAATCTCAATTAAAGAAAAAAAACGAGAGAAGGGATGGGTTAAGAGAGATGGGTGACAATGTTGTCAGACACTTGTACTCATATACTGTTTTGTAGAATGGGAACTTCTTTGTACAACTACTTAAAAGACAATTTTAAAAATTAGTGAAAAAAATAAAATAAAAATAAAAATAGGAGCCAGGCATGGGGTTGCACACCTGTCATCCCAGTTTTCAAGAGGCTAAGGCAAGAAGATGGTGAGTTTGAGGTCAGCACAAGAGCTACATACTGGGAGGCGGGGGGGGGGGGGGGGGGAGGGAGGGAAGGAGAAAGAGAGAGTGCATTGAACTTAGAGAACATTGCCTAGAATTAAAGCTTATATTTCCCATATGAAAAAAGGGCCACTGAGTACTCAGCACAATAACTGAGAAAAGCTTACAGGATACATTATTGTGAAAATTCAGAATATTAAGGATGAAAGGGGAAAAACATCCTAAGTGTTTCAGAAACAAATGAGCAAATAAATTTTCCATAGGAAATAACAGAAATCAGAATAAATCAAACTTCTAAAGTATCTAGCCTATGAGAAGCTAGATGATAATAAATTAATGCCTTTACCATTCTGAAAGAAAGTGATTTCCAATCTGGAAATCCATCAATCAAGTGTAAAAAACCATTTTATTTTTATTTTTGTGCATGTCCTGGGACTTGAACTCAGGGGCTGGGCTCTGTCCCTGAGTTTTTTTTGCTCAAGGCTAGTGTTCTACCACTTGAGCTGCAACTCTACTTCACGCTTTTTTTTTTTTTTTTTTTTTGATGGTTAATTGGAGATAATAGTTTCACAGGCTTTTCAGTCCTTCCTGGGATGGCTTTGAACCATGATCCTTAGATCTCAGCCTTCTGTGTAGCTGGGATTACTCGCCTAAGCCACCAGCACTTGGCAGGATAACTTCTTTTTATTCTTTTTTTTTTCTTTTTGAAACTATAAAATTAACTATATACTTTTTTTGTTTAAGTTTGTGTTGGGAGCTGTTATTTGTCAGTTGTGGGGCTTGAATTCGAGGTCTGGGTGCTGTTCCTGAGCTCTTTTTGCTCAAGACTACTTGAGCTCTACCACTTTGAACCCAGCACCACTTCTGATTTTCTGGTGGTTAATTGAAGATAAGAGTCTTATGGAGGGCTGGGAAGGTGGCTCAGTGGTAGAGTGCTTGCCTTGCATGCTTGAAGCCCTGGGTTCGATTCCTTAGCACCACATAAGCAAAAAAGAAAAAAGCCGGAAGTGGCGCTGTGACTCAAGTGGTAGAGTGCTAGCCTTGAGCTGAAGAGCTGAGGGACAACACCCAGGCCCAGAGTTCAGGCCCCAAGACCTGACCCAAAAAAAAAAAAAAAAGAGTCTCATGGACTTTCCTGCCTGGGCTAGCTTTGAAAGGTGATCCTCAGCTCTTAGCTTCCTGAGTAGGTAGAATTACAGGCATGAACTTGTAATCAAGACGGCGCCTGGCCATCTCAAGGTTTTGATGTGATGTGTTTGATTGCTGCTCTCACAGAAATCTCCTTGGGGAACTTTATGAACTTCCAACTGGCCAAGTCTGGTATAGGTGTGTGACAGGATCTTGGTGATGGCTCCTAGAGCCTCTTCTGGGCTCCAACTGTGCACTTGAATCAGATATGCTGCCACCATCATGGCAGTTCGGAGTGCCCAGCCTCACAAAGCATGTAGACACTCTTGCCCAGCTGTTGGTATCTGAGAACAAATTGGACTCCTCTGTGGAGGTTAGCCAACTCAGGCACTCCGGACAAGTCAGTTGTGCTGAGCAGCAGCTGTTCAATTCCTACTTTCTTCCACTCCTTGAAGGAGCAGCACAGGAACCTGGTCTCCTATTCCCACTCAGGGTGAGCACCCCATGAACATTCTCATCTGTTCTAGCTAGTCATGGTTTGGTAGCCCAACTGGGATCACACACCCCAGAGCATGGAGAGCACATTCAAGCACCAAGGATCTGTCTTTAAAATTCAAAGTCAGTTCATCTTAGGTCGTAGTCTTCCCAGACAGGATGAGAAGCTTTGGTTTCAGTTGCCTCATTCCTGTAGTTGAAGAGAGATTTTTTTTTTGGGGGGGGGGGGAGGGAGCAGGTCTGTTTTCACCAACAATGGAATCACTGTCTCTCAGGATAACTTCTCAAAAGTGAAGCTACTTAGTCAATGGTTGTAGTGATTTTTAATAGGGCTGAAAATTATTTCAGTTACAAAAGTGTATGGTACAATAGTATTAACGTCACTGTGTCACAGATCTCTAGAAGTTTTTCATCTTGCAAAACAAACTCTATACCCGTTGAGCAGTAACTCCCTTTTGCCACCCTCCCTACCCTGACAACCAACCACCATTCACTTTAATTTTTAGAGTTTGACTAGTTTAGATTCCTCAGATAAAAGAAATTGGGTCAGAATGATCTTTTTGTATGTTGTGCTCATTTTTAAGGTTTTAACATCTAGTGCTAAGCTGGTCCCCAGAAAGGATATAACAATTTATCCTTAGACTGAAGTAAGTGTTCATCTGGGCTACCCACTCAATACTTGCTTAACACCGGATCATTTGTTTCAGTGTTTTCTACTTTGAACAAAGGGGGTGGCCTGACCTGTTTTCCTTCGGATAAGTCACTGTCCCATGAATGCTGCCTAAAATACTTGCTCCAGCCCTTACTAGAAGTGAGTGACCTGAGACACTTATCTTTTTCACCTGTGAAGTGGAGATAATAATAGCTAATCGCTATATAAGTATTATATAAGTATTATTCGTGAGTAAATGTTAAACTCTGGAAACAGTGCCTGGACTACAAGAAGGTCTAAAGAAAGGTAGCTATAGTTGTTACTTTGCATCTTTTTGGGTCAATCCTTGCTAACCTGGCACATGGAATAATATACAACGATTTTAATTTACATCTCCTTGATTACCCGTGGACCACAAGTCTCTGTTTTCGTACTGCCAGGAGTTCTGTCAGATCACTGTGGCAAACAGGCCCTTCCTTGACCCTCATTAAACTCTCAGGAAAGTGGCAATCACCGAGGCTCACTTTCCGAATTAAGAACCTGAGGTTCAGAATTCCAACGCTGAGCAGTTCCAATCCCAGGATTCAGCTCTTAGTATACAAGGCCTACCAGCTGTGCTCAAAGATATTGGGGGGTGGGGTAGAGTAAAAAACCAAAACCAAAACACCCAAACCTTTTGTTTCCGTAAACCCTCTTCGGCCCCATGCCCGTCCCACCCCCGCCAGGCCCCGCCCCCGTCAGGCCCCGCCCTGTGCTTTCTACGCAGGCGCCGAGGGTCCAGCGAGCGGGGGAGGCTCCGGCCGCGACCCCGCCTCCGCGGCGCGACCCGCCCAGTCCGAGGGCGGCGGGCTCGGCGCTCGGGGTCCCGCGGAAGGGGAGGGCGAAGGTGTCCCCGGCGTGGGGCCCGGCCTGCGACTCAGCGGAGACCCGAAGTTCGAGGCCAGGGAGCGAGAGGTATTGAGTCGTGAGTCGCCATCTTGCCGCGGGGCGGGGAGGGGAGAGGAGGGGAGGGAGGGAGGGAGGGAGGGAGGGGCGGGGCGGGACGGGCTGCGCGCGGCTGGCGGGGGCCCTGGGGCGGCTGTCCCCGCGGACAGGCCCGGGGAGTCCCGGGCCCAAGTGGCCCGGAGTCTCGGCCTCGGAGCGCCGCTGCCCCGGGTCTACTTGTCGGAGGCCCGCGCGGCCGCTGCCGCAGGGAGGCCGGGGGAGTGACCGTGGTCCCCCGTTTGACGGAGCGGGGAGGTCGAGGCAGGACCGAGGGCTTATGGTCTTGCCACCTGTGCGTCGCCTCACCTGTCAGAGGTAGGGCCCAGCCCAGGCATTGTGAGTGACCGGCAGGTCCTTCTTTGTAGAGAGCTGCCTCTTTCGGAAGCCTCCAGGTCAGCCCACCACGGAGCGATCAGCAGCCAAGCCATGGATCCTCCTGCGCGGAAAGAAAAATCCAAAGTTAAAGAACCTGTCAGCCGCGTGGAGAAGGCTAAGCAGAAGTCTGCTCAGCAGGAGCTGAAGCAGAGACAAAGAGCAGAGGTGAGAGAGAGAGGCGGGGCTCCGTGTGCCTTGCAGCCTTTGGGCAGAGAAAAACTGGGGAATGAGGAACTCTCCTGGGGGTGTCTTGCTTGCCCCTCAGGAAAGACAGGTTCCTCGCAGATTTGGAGACAGGAGACGTCTGGAATCCAGAAAATCACATGTCAAGTTAGTGTCAGAATCCCAAGCAGTGCCAGGTCCCCAGATGACTCCTGGCCCTGTGGGAGAGACCCCAGGAAAGGAGCGAAAGGAGCTAAGTGTGCGGGAGGGGTGAGAATCGGAGAGGGAGAGAACCAGGGTCCAAGCAGCCAGCACATGCTTTGGACTGGGTTCAAAAAGTACCTGGTAAAGGCCCGCTTTAGCCCACCAGGGGGTTCCTTTGTTCTTCCAACACAATCAGGGTAAGAAGAAAAAGCTTTAGACTGTATACAATACTAGTTTTAAGCACATCCAGACATGAATATTTAACATCTCCCCCAAAAGCCCCAAAGGAAAAAACCCTCACTGATATTTTCCTTTTTTATTTTGAGGAAAATAAAAAGTATGGACAATTAATTAGCAAATACCTAGTGGTCAGCCCCCGAAATTGGTCGTGGTTACCATTTTGTCATATTTGCCTGGACTCTTATAAATAAAAATCACACATAACTATAAAATCCCCCTTGTCTATTTCTTCCTCATAGGTGAGCACTGTTTTGTTTTTTTTTAATACCATTACATTCAAATACTTTGATATCTTTGAATGTACAACTTTTGTTTAAATTTTCTATGCTAATAAAATTCCATTTATTGTATTTTGTTTACATTACTTTTAGAGTTCTAAAAGTGATATAGCACAAGAATCTTTTTTATGGGGCTGGGAACTTGGCTCAGTGGTAGAGCGCTTGCTTTGCATGCCTGAGGCCCTGGGTTCAATTCCTCAGCACCACATAAGCAAAAAGAAAAAAAAAGAAAAAAGAATCTTTTTTTTTGGGGGGAGGGGGGTCCAGTCGTGGGGCTTGAACTCTGGCCTGGGTGCTGTCCCTCAGCTCTTCAGCTCAAGGCTAGTGCTCTACCACGTGAGCCACAGCGCCACTTCCGGCTTTTTTCTTTTTTTTTTGCTTATATGGTGCTGAGGAATCGAACCCAGGGCCTCAGGCATGCAAGGCAAGCACTCTACCACTGCCACCTTCCCAGCCCCAAAAAGAATCTTTTTTATGTGTAAGTAATACAAAGTAAGTAGCACAAGAATCTTTTTTATGTGTGCTGGTACTAGTGCTTAAACTCAAAGCCCTGAACATGATTATTGCTCTACTAGTTGAGCTATGCTTCCACTCACAGCTTTTTGGTGGTTAACTGGAAATAAGTCTCACAGACTTTCTGGTCTCATGGACTTCCCAGTACTAGCTGGCTTCGAACTGTGATCCTTATATCTTAGCCTCCTGAATAGTGAGGATTACAGGTATGAGTCTTTGGTGCCCAACTCAGCTCACAGTTACAATTTTACTAGACATTGCCAAATTTCTTCCAGAAAGCTTGCTCCCCTACTAGCACATTAAAGGCTCTCATTCCTTCCTTTTGGTCTAGCCCATGGCAGTTTTTGGTTTGTTTGTTTGTTTTAAATCAGATCCACTGGTTAACAGGCATTGAGCTGCTGCTATGTGCCAGGAACACAAGAACTTGAGACATTGGATCAGACAAGGCAGAGAAGAATCCCTGCCTTATGAAGCTTACATTCCAGCTAACATAATAAATTAAAAGCATGTTTGAAGCTAATCTGATGAGCTGAAATCACCCTTGTAACTAAGGCAGACTGTCTAAAAGCTGTGGTCTTGATTATTCCTGGATTCAGGCCCTGGGGTCATTTTATTGCTTTGTTCTATGGTGAAAAGTTGGAGGGGTGATGTGAGGAACATCCCTCTGCAACTGTCCTCTGTGATACTATAAAGATTGTGCTGAAGACATTACTCATGTCTTTATTGACACCCTTCCTGGGAAGTTCCACAGTTTAAAATTATTTGTCTGACTTCAATTCACAGTTCTTTCCACGTGACTTTGTACAAGATACTTAACCTCTCTGAACTTTCTTGATAAAATGAGGATGATAATCTGTTTCACTCACTGTTACAAGGAACAGAAAGAGGATATGTGGTCTAGTTTCTGGAGTGGTAGAGGCAAAAGGATTTTGAGACCAGCTCAGGCAAAGATATGTCAAGACCTTGTCTCAAAATAATACTACCAGGCACAGGTGACTTCTGCCTGTAATTCTAGATACTCAGGAAGTTGAGATCTGAAAATCATGGTTTGAAGCCAGCTCAGGCAGAAAAGTCTGTGAAACTCTTATCTCCCATTATCTGCCAAAAAAAAGGTAGAAGTAGAGCTGTGGCCCAAGTGGTAGAACACCAGCCTTGAGAAAAATAGCTCAGGGACAATACCCAGGTTCTGAGTTCAAACCCCAGGACTGGCACAAAAGGAAACAAAAGGGGGCTGGAGATGAGGCTCAAGTGAAAAGTACCTGACTAGATGCTCCAGGCCCTTCCTGGGTTCAATCTTTAGTACCACAAAGACAAGCAAAACAGTATGCGTGAAAATATACAATAACTGACAGCAGTTATGATCAGGAGTCATTGTACTTCCATGCATTCAGTCTGTGCTTTTCTTGTGGACTATAAATTAAACAACTGGTTGTGTTGATGGTCACTTGCTGAGATGTAATTTTAAGATTGTACTCTAGTGACAGCTGGCACTTGGGTTCTTAGCCAGGCTGGAGCCCAACCAACACCTGCATGAATGAATACATGCAGACCCATTCCAAGGCAGGTGTTATGTTCCCCTTTTACCAAATCTTTCCTGGAATAAAGTAGGAATGTATAAAGCATATGCCCTGGGGAGGGAAGAGGGTTATCCTTGCTTTAAAGCCATGTTGTGATCAGAGTGCAGGAGTTAGGTCTCTAAAAGCTTTTGTTGCCTTTGGCTTCACCCTACAGCTGCCTTGCTGTTTCCTTCTTCCTGTGCCTAGTGTCCTCTCCTACAGTAAAAATGTCACAGAACCCCTTGCATGGCAGGGGCAGGGATACAGTTTCCATATGGCACTGCTAGTGACCCTATCTTTCTTGACCAAGTCTTTCATTCCTTGGCTCATACACCCTCTCTTCATTTCTAGTTTCTTCTTTCTCTTGCTTATTTTATTCTTCCCTTCCCTATAACTCCTTGCCTCCTTGATCAGAAGGTCTGCAAGATGCTATTTAATATCCCTTTCAGCTCTTGAGAAAGTGAGATGCAGATTTCAAATGCTCACTAGTTATTGAATAAATGAGGCAGAAATGGTTTTAATATGTATATTTTAAAATGTGTATGTGTGTATGTAAATCAAAGAAGCACTTGGGAGGCAGAGATTGGGAAAATCACAGTTCAAGTTCCACCCAGGCAAAAAGTTAAAATGTTTTGCTCAGCAAATGAGCCGTGTATGATGGGTCACAAATATAATCCCAGCTATGCAGAAGGTACAGGTAAGAGGATGGTGGTCAGTCCTTAAAAATAGCTGAATGCAAAAAGGGCTGGTGGTATGACTCAAGTGGTGCAGTACCTACCAAGCAAGCATAAGGTCCTGAGTTCAAACTCCATACTACACAGAAGAAAGAGAAGGAAAAAGGGGAAGAGCGGAAGTGGAAGAAGGAAACCCTTTATATCATTCCAGGCACTGGCGGCTCACACCTGTAATCCTATCTACTCAAGTGGCTGAGATCTGAGGATCACAGTTTAAAGCCAGCCCAGGCAGGAAATTGAATGAGACTTTTATCTCCAATAAACTACTAGAAAACCAGAAGTGGCGCTGTGGCTCAAGTGGTATAGCGAGCGCTAGCCTTGAGCTGAAGAGCTGAGGGGCAGCACCCAGGCCCAGAGTTCAAGCCCCACGACTGACAAAAAAAAAACAAAAAACCCTCTATATCAACTACCCAACTAAAGAAATAGAGTGTAGGCATGGTGAAGAATATAGAGAAGGAGTTGGGGAGCTAGAGAAAGCAAACAAGTATGGTTGGGGCCTTAAATGCCATGCCAAGCGATCTGGACTTTATCTGCAGACTGGAAAATCAGCAAAGATAAGTGTATAAGGGAGCACCCAAAACACCTTGGTCCTTTGGGAAGGATAACTAGAGGCCTTGAGTGGGGTGTGTATGTATAGTCCGGGGAGGCAGGGGTTATCAGGCACTTAGGAGGCATCTGTTACACTGGTCCAGGTAGAAAGAAGTACACTGTAGCCGAGGGCAGGCCATGGTACTAGAAATGTGGTAGAAAGAAAACTGCAAGAGACATTCTATTGTAACTATTCACTAGAGAACTGAGACTAATCATGAAATGTCTCAATTTGTAAAAGAAATAAAGGGTGTATGTATATGTGTGTGTAGCATTCCATTGTCTTGCTTTCCCTAGCACTGACCCTGGACTCTGTATGCTCTGTATTAGTATACTTAGAAGTCTTCAGAACTGAACCTGTGTTTTTCCATTGTATTTATTTATACATAGCATCTTCCACTTTACCATCCTGTTCAAATCCTACCATCCCCTAAAGACCAAACTGCTGCTTCTTTCTCGTTCCCGGATGGAATTACTGCCTGCCTTCCTGTTCCCAAGTTACTGTTGCTCATGCTGTTTCTGTTGCAGTTTGGCATTTTCAGAGGACTTGGCCTCTACTGTGTAGGCCCTCTGAGCAGCTGCTTCTGTTGCTAACATATCTGTTTCTCACTTCAGATCTATGCCCTCAACAGAGTCATGACAGAGCTGGAGCAGCAGCAGTTTGATGAGTTCTGTAAACAGATGCAGCCGCCTGGGGAGTGAGCCAGTCCTGGGTTTCTTACCAACTGAGACCCTGGAGCCTTATTTGTGAGCGTGTTCATACCTAGTATTGAGCTGATTATAGAACTAGACAAGAAGACATTTGTGGATAACTCTGAACTTCCTATGTGTAATTTCTGCTTCACTGGGTCCTCCACTCTGAATCTCACCCAGTGCTTGCTGAAGAGACTTGTCTTCTAGATTTTTTTAAACCTTTTTTCTATTGTTTGAGAAAAATCAGTGTTTCTTGTAAAAACTGTATCTTCTCCAAAAGTACAAATAAAATACTTATGAAATGACCATTTGCTCACACTTTAGGGTTGGGGGTGCCTAGCCATAGAAAGAAGTAAAAATGTGGGCAATAAGAAACTCTCAGCAAGCTGGGCGCCAATGGCGGCTCATGTCTGTAATCCTGGCTACTCAGGAGGCTGAGATCTGAGGATCACGGTTCAAAGCTAACCTAGGCAAAAAAGTCCATGAGACTCTTATCTCCAATAAACCACTCAGAAAACTGGAAGTGGCTCAAGTGGTAGAGCGCTAGCCTTGAGCTGAAGAGCTGAGGGATAATGCCCAGGCCCAGAGTTCAAGCCACACAACTGACAAAAAAAAAAAAAGAAACACTCAGCAAGCAAAAAGACCCGGGTGCCTGAGCAGGGTAGAGAGGAGAAGATGACTTTCCAATGTTCATTCCTGTTGACTAAAGTTCTATGTACCCTACTGACCATAAGTCTTCCATCACACAGGTAGAAATATGTGATTCTTTCCTTCCATTTCAGTCACTAGGGCTAGGAGCTGAAAGCCTTCTCTTGATGGAAGTAAACAGTGCAAACCATTTTTTTGCATCTTTGGGGCTTCTCTATCAGACTTATCCCTTAGAAACCACTCACTCACCATTCAACCACCATTTTTAGGGATCAAAGTATAAAGTTCTTTCTGCCCCAGTCATTTGCTTCAGGACTAGGGTTCATTGCGACATGTTAATGCTAGAGTGATTTTAGTGCTAAACAAAAGGAAATTGTTCTCTCTGGATATTTTATTGGGGAGTGGGGGGAGATGGAAACAAGGCAGATCACAGGCATATAAGCCAAGCACTGCCACCTCTTAGAGCTGAAAATGCCTGTATGTTCCCTACTGTGTGGCTGAGAACTCTGACTGTCCCATCTCTGTGTCCCTGCTACCTCTGAAGTCATTGAGAATAATTCTAACTGCTGTGGCTTTTTTTTAGGAGTAAACTGAGGTGTTAGAATCTTAACCCACAGTGAAGATGCTTTTGAGTACCTGAGTTGCAGCTAAAGATAATCTCTATATAGATTTATTTTTATTTTTATTCAGTCATGGGGCTTGAACTCTGGGCCTGGGTGCTGTCCCTCAGCTCTTCAGCTCAAGGCTAGCGCTCTACCTCTTGAGCCACCGCGCCACTTTCATTTTTCTGAGTGGTTTATTGAAGAGTCTCACGGACTTTCCTGCCTTGGCTGGCTTTGAACTGGGATCCTCAGATCTCAGCCTTCTGAGTAGCTAGGATTACAGGCGTGAGCCACCGGCACCTGGCTAAGGATAATCTCTATATCGATGATCCCCATAAGTGGTAACCAGATCCTATAGTGGCCACCAAGTTTGAGTTGGTTTTTTTTTTTAATTTAATTTAATTTTTTTTTTGGATGAGTAGAGGGTTAGGGAACAGCTTACCTTTTAAACATAAGAAAATGCTATTATTGTAGTATACTAGATAGAGCTCTGTTTGAGAGCAAAATGACCTGAGTTACTGGGGCTCAGAGAGCCTCTTTTCCCCACTTGTTTTCTTCCTCTTAGGATCATAATTCAAAAATAAATTATGTGGTAAATAGCATATGTACCTCCCCAACCACTTTTCAGATTGTTTTACAGGGAAATCATCATTTCAGACTAAGTAATGTATAAGCATTGTTTGGAAAGATTCTGACCCTTAGGGTCTGTTTGTGTTTGCATGCCTAAACCTTGGACATATTCTTATCATGTAAAAGCACTCTAGTAGGGCAAAATTTTTCAAACTGCATTAAGTTGATTGTAAAACTTAACAAACTGACTTTTCACAGGCATGGTAGGGTTTACCTGTAATCAAAGTATTTAGGAGACTGAGGCAGGAGAACCACCAGTTCAAAGCTTTGTAGATCATTATAGATAGCCTATTGATTCCACACCCAAACTCAGCAAGGGGTGGTTTCTTTCTCTTTTTTCTTCTTCTTCTTCTTTTTTTTTTTTTGTTGGTCATGGGTCTTGAACTCTGGGCCTGGGCGCCTGTCCCTCAGCTCTTCAGCTCAAGGATAGTGCTCTACCACTTGAGCCACAACACCACTTCCAGTTTTCTGAGTGGTTTATTGAAGATAAGAGTCTCAGGGATGTTCCTGTCTGGGTTGCCTTTGAATTGGGATCCTCAGATCTCAACCTCCTGAGTAGCTCGGATTACAGGCGTGAGCCACTAGTGCCGAGTTTGGGGGTGGTTTCTTAAAGGTTAACTGCAATATAGAATCTGATACCTTACCAATGAGCTTTTTATACTTTGATATATTAAAATCCTTTTGAGGTTTTGAGTCTTGCCATATGAACGGCTCTTCCACTCATGTATCATTTGGAGATACCAGGCATTGTCCATTTAGAAAATATTGGATCACTGAATTATGTAGGTCTTCTGAATGTTGACATGTAACATTACAAAACTCCACAATTTACTTTCAAAGCAGTCCTTATAGGGGCCTATATATTGATTTTGATTCTGCTCATAGAAATTCTTTCGGGAACTACATCTTTTACTTTTGAACATAGAAAAATCTAAACATTATTTGGGGCCAAACCTGATAATTCAAGAATAGGACATTAGTCAGGCACTGGTGGCTCACACCTAGCTACTCAGGAGGCTGAAATCTGAGGATCACGGTTCAAAGCCAGCCCAGGTAGGAAAGTCTATAAGACTCTTATCTCCAATTACCAGAAAACCAGAAGTGGCACTGTGGTTCAAGAGGTAGAGAACTCACCTTGAGCTGAAGAGCTCAGGGACAGCGCTCAGGCCCTGCAACTGACAAAAAAAAGAAAAGAAAAAAAAAGAATAGGACATTATTGTCTAATCCCAAGCATTAGGTTTTTGAGCTAAATTAGATTGGTTGAGAGTAACAGATTTTCCCCTCTAGCTCCTCTTGTACCCAAGTATGGGGCTAGCTTCTGGCCCTAAGACTTTACGTGAACACAGTTCTTAGGTTGGAGTTCTTAATATAGCACCAAGGAACATGGTGCCATGAATATGTGTAAGCTACAATACTACCATATAATAACCTTGTATGTTATTATAGCAACCTTGTATATTATAGAATTCTTTACTAGAAGCCATGAGTCATCTGCAAAGCAAAGATTTTGAGTTTTAAGAACTGCAGCAGGTAGCAGAAATACCTAACAGTAAACTGAAGGAGATGAAAACCTCACAGGACACAGATATATTTGTCAAATATGATAACATGAAGGTTGTAGCAGAGACACAAGTACAGAACCCTGGAAAAGGATGCTGTCTGTACATTTAGAGCCATATCACAATGATGTGGCTTTCTTTAGACTGGTACTTTGAAAAGAAAACTAGTTTTAAGTCAGGCACTGGTGCCTCATCCCTGTAATCCTAGCTACACAGATTTGAGGACTGCAGTTTGAAGCTAGCAGGGACAGAAAAATACATGACATTCTTATCTCTGTTTAATCACTAAAAGCCAAAAGTGGAGTTGTAGCTCAAGAGTTAAAGTGCCAACCTTGAGCCAAATGAGAGCTATGAGCCCTGAGTTCAAGTCCTAGTACCAGCACCAAATATTTTTAAATTAATCTAATTTTAGATTTGATGCATATTTGTCACATACATTGTTCTAAGAACTTAAGGAAAATCAGACTTGTAGAAGGAGCTCTGGTGCCACCTCTGGGAAGAAGCAGAATTAGCCAGTGAGCCTTTCCCATATGAAGGTGCAGGACCATTGTTTCTAGAGGTCAAAATTCTATGTGAGGTACAACTTTAGCAGACAATACTATATTCCCATCTGATTTGAATTTGAAGAAATGAAGTGGTATTTCAGTAGCTAGAGTTTAGTATTTGAAAGCTTAGAAAAGAAACAGGTCATGAGACCATGCTCCCCCAAAAGCAAGTAATACCTTCCTGCTGTCAATATCTCATTGCTAAACGAAGCAAAAGGCTTTGCACCATTAAAATACAAACATTTTAACGTTCTACAAGCATTCCAAATGGGCAAGCTCTGCTCTCAGAGCCAGAATCTGGAGCTATAATAACTGCTAGTGAGGGGCCAGGTGTGGGGCTTTCCCCTGCAACTTCAGCTACTGGGGAGGTAGAGATAGGAGGATGGTGATTCATGGCCAGCCCAAGAAACAGCTATGTGAGAGACAAAAGTAGGAGGATTGCAATCAGAGGCAGACTCTGGACAGAAAGACTATCTGAAAAATAATTAAATCCAAAAGGGCTTGTGTGTGTGTGTGTATGTGTGTGTGTGTGTGTGTGTGCGTGCGTGCGTGCGCACGTGTGCAGCCGCGCACGCAAGCACATACATGCACTAAGTAATCTGACTAGCAAACAAGTGCAAGGTCCTGACTTCAAATGACTACAAAATAAGAGCCCCCACCCTACACACACACACACACACACACACACACACACACACACAGAGCACACAGAGTTAATTCCAACCTGGCAAAACTGAGGCAGAGGCTACACCAATTTGGGAAGATTCCTCTCCTTTACAAGGGAGGAACCTTAGTGTACAAGATCACCCAGCTAGTGACAGAGTTAGATTTTAATCCCAGCCCAAACAATATGTTCTACATACCATATAGTATATTGCCCGAAAAGAAGTTGGAATTCTGGATAAAGATAGTCAGGCATTGGTGGTTCACATCTATAATCTTTAGTTACTCAGGAGGCTGAGATCTGGAGGATCATGGTTCAAAGCCACTCCAGGCAGAAAAGCTTGTATGATTCCATGTCCAATTAACCACTAAATTATTGGACTGGGACATGGATCAAGTAGTAGTGAGAGTGAAAGGTCTTGATTTCAACCCCTGGTAAAAGGAGGAGGAGGAGGAGAAAGAGGAGAAGTGAAGAAGGAAGAGGAGGAGGTAGTAGATAGAGGAGAAAGGAAGAAGGAAGAGGCAATAGCAGCAGTAATACAATCTGCAGTGCCTATGTGAGTAGCAGTGGTTCAAAACAACAGAGATAGCATGTACCTAGAATATGATCACAAAGGCACACGGAAAGTTTTAGTGAGGACAGGCAAGGCTTGGCCCAACATGCTGGTGCAGTCCCCACAGAGGCCAGCAGGAGTTGGAGCTGGGGCTTCCTCGCTGCTAGAGCCCAGAACAGGTTGCCTTTCCCCACAGGGAATCAGGGAAGAAGATGTAGGAGAGCGACCACACCAGGCAGTAAAAAGCAGTGAGAGAGAATGGGAAGAAAAACAGCATGATGATACCTAGAAGAAGCAAAAACACAGACACTCAGTTCTTATGTTATAAAGCTGCATTATATGCATCCCAGCCCACCCTCTCATCCTTCACGTGGTACCCACAGTACCTAAGACATAGCAAGAAAAAAAGAGATAGGAGCCTATCTTCAAGTTCAGTTTAATTGGGAAATACACAAGTAATGCAATCTCAGGTTCCATTCTGACTAGAATTTCAGATCAGAAACAATCCCTGGCCAAGAATACAGCTGAGTTGCTCAGATCCTTTGTTAGGGAAAGAAAAAACTTTTTTCTGAGTTAATATGGGATAATGGCCAATATAATATTATATGCATGCAGAAAGAATTAACACAGGATCCTGAGACTGCTGTCCTTACAAAGGCCTGCTTATAGCTGGCTCTTGGCTGATAGTTCCCATACCACTAGAAAGCTTTCTCTAACTGATCAGTGTGGCTCACTGTGTTCACACTATGCAAATATGTGGCTTATGCAGAACACCTGCTTTACTTCTGGGCATCCGAAGTTTGGGTACAGTGGAAGTCTACATAACTGGCTACTAATTAAAGGCTCCAGCACTGAGTTTCTGATGAACTTTCTTGGCAGATAACACCCTACATGAATTATCACAATTCAGTGCTGGAAGGCGAGAGTACAACTGTTGATTCCAGCTGGGAGAGAACTCCTGAAAAATGGCACCTGCAAACTGTCCTGGTTTCTAAGACAATTCTGGTTTAAAATACTGTCTCTGCCTTAACAGATCAATGGCTATTCTGCACATGCATTATTCCAAAATTCCAATATACTTCTTTTGCTGTTCCTCACCCAGTGGTCTTTTGTCAGATCATGTTTTGATCTCTTACTGAACATATGGTGGTTCTTTCCATGGAAGTGCCATTGCCGACACTCTTCTAATTCTTTTTGAGTTCTGAGACAGTGTGTTTAGTTTTCAAAATCAGGCAGATATGGCTTTGGATTAGAAATTTATGACAGCTATTTCCCCTCTGTTTCATCATTTGGGAAATATGGTTTTAATCTAACTCATATTGTGAAGTATAAGTGAAATAATTTATGTACATATAATACCTAACAGAATATCTAGTGTGAAGTAGACAGGACACTAATGTAGAGACCTTTTTGTTGATGAATCTGAGATTGGAATTATATTGGTAGTCCCCAAGACTGTCCCCAGGGTCTGTGCCTTGCCAGGAGAACCCAGAACTTAGTATGTTGTCCTACTCATGGTGAAGACTATTAGAGCAAAAGGACACAAAAAGCAAAATCAGCAGGGGATGAGGCTATATGAAACCAGACTCTCAGGAACTCTTTGAGACAGGAGAGAACTCATCTAAAAGGACAACGGGAGATGGGTGCAGGTGGCTCACACCTGTAATCCGAGCTACTCAGGAAGCTGAGATCTGAGGATTGTGGTTCAAAGCCAGCCAAGGCAGGAAAGTCCGTGAGACTCTTATCTCTAATAAACCACCAGAAAACTGGAAGTGGCACTGTGGTCAAGTGGCAGAGCGTGCACCTTGAGCTGAAGAGTTGAGGGACAACACCCAGGCTCAGAAATCAAGCCCCACAGGGCTGGGAAGGTGGCTCAGTGGTAGAGTGCTTGCCTTGCATGCCTGAGGCCCTGGGTTCCATTCCTCAGCACCACATAAGCAAAAAGAAAAAAGCTGGAAGTGGCGCTGTGGCTCAAGTGGTAGAGCGCTAGCCTTGAGCTGAAGACCTGAGGGACAGCGCCCAGGCCCAGAGTTCAAGCCCCATGACCGGACCAAAAAAAAAAAAGAAATCAAGCCCCACAACCAAAAAAGAAAAAAGAAAAAAAAAGGACAATGGGGCTGTGCTGTAGGCTGAGGGACTATCAACAACAGCTATTTTGAAATTGTCCAAGTAGGCCTCTGATATTAACTGTGTCAAAATCTGTGAGGTTAAGACCAATTGTATGGGTTATTTTGAGAAGTGGAGATCAATAGAGAACACTGTGGGGAATCCTATCACATCTGAGATGGGAAAAGGTGAGGTGGAAGACAATTGGGAGCTAGGAATTACCATTTAGTATACATATGTACCAGAGGTACTTCATGGGGAGAACCACCATGTGTTCAATAAGTGATCAGAACATTATTTTTCTTAATTCCAGTGATCTGCAAGCTAGGGATTTTTGGCTTCATTTTTTAAAAGATAAAATGGTAACAGCCTAATTATATACAACTAGTCCATGCTGAAGTTAGAACAGGAACTCAAATCTGCTTAGTCCCAGATTCTTCTTAGCACCAATTGCCTTTGCCATCAGGACATAGGAGAACCCAGCACCCAGAACTCAAGTAGCAATGTTGGTGATGCTATCACAAGGTATGACTGTAAACAAGAACCATGGATCCTATATACTAGACTGAGCTCACAAGAGAATAATGGAAGAACTTAATATACCCATAAATGTTTGTCTTACTTCACTGAGCACATTTAAAAGGAAAAAACAATCATATATCTTGAACCACAAATTGGGTGAACTCTAGGGAGACATCTGTCAGGTCCCCAATGTGAAGGAATCTTGGGGCATGAACCAGCACTCTGTTACTTGAACTTGAACTTTCCTTCCACAAAAGCAAGTATATTTCAAACCCTTTAATTGTTTCCCTTTATCTCCATCACACTACCACTTCTATTTTGAACTTCCAATCTTGGTATTCTACCACTCAATGTTATAATCAAAGTAATCCTGGAAACTTGTCACTCTGATTGTGTCACTTCCTGCTTAGGTCCCACCCAGTCTGCCTACTTCATTGGTCTCAGTTTTTATCACTGGCTCTCTCAGCAAGCTCCAGCCACACTGTTCCACTAATGCTTCCAGCACCTTCCAGCTTTCCAACTGTCACAAAATATTGTGTCCTCTGCTTGAACTGTCCACTCTACTTATGTAGCCATTCATCTTTGGGTCTCACTTAAGAATCACTTTCTTAAGAATCATTTTCCCTTCTTTCAGGCCACCCTAGTATAAATTAGGTCATCCTTGAATACCTCTCAGAACATCCTGCACTAATCCAGCACATCAAAAACATATTCCCAGTTAATTCTGCCATTATTTGTTTGGTGACTTCTCCCTGCTTGACTATAGATTCTAAGCTGGAATCATGTCTAGTTTACCAAGTTGCTTCTAGCACTTAGGCATGGGGTAGGTGCTACATAAATATCCATTGAACTCATTAACATTCAACAAACATGTTTGGAGTATCTACTATGTAACAGGCATTATTCAGAGAGTCCTCTAAGGAAAGTCCTCGAATGAGGATAAAGTCTAGTGTTTATAGACAACAAACCAAACTAGTAAACATATTCTATGTCAGGTGATGATAAATACTGTGGTTAAAAAATAAAGCCCAAGGTAAAGCGGATAAGGGGATGCTGGGACCAGGTATAGGATGACTATGAATAGCACTGATAATCAATTGGCCATCGGTGACATTAGAGAGTGGTATTTTCACTTACCTCCAATATAGACCATTTTTTTCCAGTTCTCAGATTCCAAGATTTCATCACGTGGATAGTAGCTCTGGTCGATCATGAACAGAATCATGAGTGAGGCCATGCAGCATAGAATAAATGTGTTGCCTTTGGTCAGAAGGGAGGTGGAAGCCAAAACACAGGAAGCATAGGGGCACGGTAGGCCCCTGTATGAGAAGGGAATTCCTCCTGCAGGGGAAAGAACCATGGGGATCTGCTGGTTCCCTGCTCACTGGCACATAAACAACACCAGCCCATTCCCACCTTAAGTCTTCTCCTACCTGGCCTATCAAGTTTCCTTAGCCCAGGGGCAGTACCAGACTGTAAATCATTTAGCTATTCACAAACATGTGGGTTTTATGTTGGACTTCCAAGGGAAAGTAGGCAGCAGTGTAGACAGAGATATGTCCCAGCCCAGTCTTTGCTGAAAGGGTCTTTGAAGTCTAGTCTAAGTTCAGTGCAGTGTCTATCTGCATTTCCTTACTTTGTGACCTTACAAAGACCACTGCCCTCCCCATGACACAGTTTCTCCTATTTGAGGAACTGGAGAGCAACCTCCATTTGTAGGATACATGAAGCCATATGCTCCACCCAAGGATCATACAGAGAACAAAGTGCAGCCACTCTAAGAAATGAGGACTCCTACCTCCCAGACTAGGGCTCTGTCAACACAGCCCATAACCTACAGTGGCCATGGGGCTTGCAAGAGGGAAGGAAAAGGGAAGGATTTCCTCCCACTTTCCAGCAGCTCTTCCCTCTCTATGGTCCCCTACTTGAAGTCCTAAGGCAACCAGGGTTCCACTTACCAGATGAATAAAAACACAGGCGGAAAGAAGTGGTTAACACATAGATGATGGCCAGGAACCCATTGAGAGGCCCCTCCACGCCAAGGAGCAGAGCTGAGGCCAAACCGAAAGAGGTGAAGACAGCAAAGTCATTCAGTTCCGCTCCTGTTCCAGAGACCCAGTGTCAAAATTCACACTCAGATCTTAGCTTCCCTCTGAAGCTGTGACAGTAGGGTCTTGAGGTTTTGAAGCATAACAGCTGTTCCCCCAAGGTGATCTGTACTCAAAATCTGAGATGTCCTCCCAGCTCTCCTTCTGAACCCCAGTAGCCTGGCAAGTCTTTCCCTCTCCAGGTAATTGGGTTGTTGTCACTTACTATGCAAGGATTGTGCTACAATCTGATGCACACCAGAATTTTTTTTCTTTCAAACAAGACCTGACAGGGAAGATTTTAAACCACTTGCTTAGCAAGAGGTAGTTTTCCCTTTCCTCGCTGACCCTTTGTCTTCTCTCTTCTCCCTCACCTTTCCAGTACCTCACTCATCACAGAGTAGGGAAGCAGAGCGGATAAGGACATGGAGCACCATGACAGGACTGGCCAAGAATGGGTAAGTTTGAGCCAGCAGAGGGGCTGAAGCTAAACTGGGGGGCTCCCTAGCTCCTCCTCCAGGACTATTCTTGCTATTCTTACAGGAATGGGAGGGAGTAACAGATGGAAGCCTGCTGGACTTTAGAGAATAGGTGTTGACCAGGGATAGGCACTCCTGGGGACAGGAACTCGGGTCCTCAGGACTGAACTCACCCAACCTGCAGGAGATGCTGAGTTGTCTGGCCATTGTCCCTATCGCCATATCCAACAGGAAGCTGATCAGAAGCATCCAGGAAGCACAGTGGTATTTCCTAAAGTGAAGCCAGCAGGTCAGAATGGGGCAGTTCTTTATAGTCCCCACTGGACAGCCACTCCACAAGGTATGCTCTTATGCAACACTTCCCACACCTACCAACATATGCACACCCAAGGTCATGACATACGCCCACATCCTTTCTGATATATACTTCTCTACTCATCCCTCCTCCCACCCTCACACATGCCTCCATCTTTGCCAAACTCTCAACCCCTGGATCCTCATGGGTGATCACTATGGCCTCTTTCAACTCCAAATTCTAGACATATTTGATGGCTCAGGGACCCTTCCTAGGTCCTAGTCTGTCTATTACATCTTCACTGTGAATTCTCAGGTGAATCACTAACTACGTCTTTGGGTCTCTATTCTTCCATTTGTAAAATTATGGGATTATGTCAATGATTTTTTTTTCTTTTCTTGTTTTGAGACAAGATCACACTATGTAGACCAGGTTGGCCTTGATCTCATAAACATCTTGTCTCAACCTCTCCAGTGTTGGGATTACAAACATGTTGGCTAAATAATTTCTTCTTTCCTGGGCTGGGAAGGTGGCTCAGTGGTAGAGTGCTTGCCTTGCATGCATGAGGCTCTGGGTTCGATTCCTCAGCACTACATATGCAGAAAAAGCCACAAGTGGCGCTGTGGCTCAACTGGTAGAGCACTAGCCTTGAGCTGAAGAGCTGAGAGACAGCACCCAGGCCCAGAATACAGGCCCCACAACCGGCAAAAATAATAATAATAATTTCTTCTTTTCATTAGCATTTGTTAATTGTACCAAATAGTAGTTCCACGGCTTCATGAATGCATATCATATAATTTGACCATATTTGTCTCCTTTACCTTCTATTATCTCCCTTCCCCTTCCAGAGGGTCCCTCTTCTTCCCAAATAGCTTCCCTTCTGCTTTCATGTCTTAATTTTTACATCTAATTTTCACATATGAGAGGAAACAATATATTTATATTTCTGAATCTGGTTTTTTTTTTTTGGGGGGGGTGTCTGGTCATGGGCCTGAACTCTGGGCCTGGGCACTGTCCCTCAGCTCTTCAGCTCAAGGCTAGCACTCTACCACTTGAGCCACAGCGCCACTTCCGGCTTTTTTTCTTTTTGGTTATGTGGTGCTGAGGAATGAACCCAGGGCCTCACGCATGCAAGACAAGCGCTCTACACTGAGCCACCTTCCCAGCCCCATGAATCTGGTTTAACATAATGAACTCTAATTTTTGTTTTTTGTCAATCATGGGGCTTGAACTCAGTGCTGGGTACTATCCCTGAGCCTCTTCATACTCAAGGCTAGCATTCTACTACTTGAGCCACTTCTCCTAAATTATTTTAAAAAAAATTTTTTTTTTTTGGAACTGGGGATTGAACCCAGGATGTTGAACTTGCTAGGCAAGCACTTCACCACTGAGCTACATCTTTAAGAAGTTGTACAAAAGAGTTTAAATATGTCAATTTGTGAATAATGCCTAAATTATTTCCTAGATAGATAAGACCCTGTTCCGATAATGTCTCTCTCTGTGTGAGTTATGGTAGCTTATTAATTTTTGCGATTTTATGTGTGCATGTGTGTGATAGTACTGCAGCTTGAAATCAGGGCTTACCACTCTCACTTGGCTTCTTAACTCAAGGTTGGTACACTATCACTTGAGCCTTACCTCCACTTTCAGCTTTTAGCTGGTTAACTAGAGATAAGAGTCACAGGCTTTTCTGCCCAGATCTCAGCCTCCTGAATAGCTAGAATTACAAGCATGAGCCTGTGGAGTGCCTGGCCCTCGTTTCTTCTTCTTTTTCTTTCTTTTTTTCTTCCTTCTTTCCTTCCTTGAACTCTAGGCCTGGGCACTGTCCCTCAACTCTTTAGCTTGAGGCTAGTGCTCTACCACTTGAGCCACAGCACCACTTCTAATTTTCTGGTGGTTTATTAGAGATAAGAGTTTCACGGACTTTCCTGCCCAGGCTGGCTTTTAACTGTGATCCTCAGATTTCAGCCTCCTGAGTAGATAAGATTACAGGCATGAGCCACCGGTGCCTGGCTTGTCCTCATTTCCTCTATTAGTATTTAGTGTCTTCTTTTCTTGCTTAGCCTAGCCAGAGGTGTATCAATCTTACTAACCATTTCAAAGAACCAGGTTTTTATTTCACTGATTTTTTTAAATTAATATCCTGAGTTTTGACTTTTTACATTGATGCTCTAATCTAATTTTTATTTGCTCTTGCTTATTTTGAATTTAATTAATTAGATCACTGATTTAAAATACATTCCTTCTCTTTTAATACAGTCCTGCCACATAATCATGTTTCAGTGTAAACTACAAATAAGATATATAAGATTATATCATCAGGTTATGTTCATGGCTTCTTGGTTTGTCCCACTATGATAAAATAACTGCATTTTTCAGCCATGTGTGATGATATATATATATTCAACATTCTCCATTTCTTCTTTTTTTCTTTTTTTGCCAGTCCTGAGGCTTGAACTTAAGGCCTGGACACTGTCCCTGAGCTTCTTTTGCTCAAGGATAGAGCTCTACTACTTGAGCCACAGAGCTTGCTCTTTTTGTTTATGGTACTGAGAAATTGAACCCAGGGCTTCATGCATGCTATAGCAGCAAGAATTCGACCACTAAGCCACATTCCTAGCTCAATGTTCTCCATTTCTTACAAGCATGGCTTTCCCCTCACTTCACAAATATTAGTAATTTTACATTATTTTTGTTCAAAATATTTTAAATTGTACTTAAGTTTTTTATCCACATACCATTTAGAAGTATGTTGTAAAACCTCCAAATATTTCAAGATTATTTAGCAATTATTTTTCTGTTATTGATTCCTAGTTTAATTCCATGTGATCTGAGGTTATACTTTGTTATGATTTTTATTCTTTTAAATTTGTTACACTGAAAACAGTGGTATATGTGAAATGTTAAATATTTGGGAAAAGGAAAGTTCAGATACTTTGCTATCAACATTTTTCTCTTCCCCTTCAACTTCTACATTTATTGGCTTTTGATGTTTAAAAATATATACTAAAGTTTTTAGGATTTTTGGCTTACTTTGTTTACAGAACTATTTAAATATAATAAATGAATATTTCAGTTTTTTACAGAATTAGAAAAAAAATTGTTAATATGTGTGTTTTATAGCCTAGAATGTGGCTTGTTCTTATTGAGTGTCCCAAGAGAACTTGAAAAAAATAAATAATCTGCTACTATTAGATGAGTTCATCTATAGATGTCAACTATATCTAGCAGATTGATGGAACTGCGGAATTTGATGTTCTTGCTTGCTGATTTTCTGCCTGTAGGATCCACTGATTATTGAGAGAGGTGTTAAAATCTCCAACTATGATAGCAGACTCATTTATTTTTCCCTGTAGTTCTCCAAGTTTTGGATACGGTCAGACCCCACATTCTTGGATTCTTTCCTTTTTCCAGCACATGTCTCTCTAAAAGCAGTCACCATAGTCCCAAGTAAATCTTTTCTTGGAAGCCATGCCAAAGTTGTCACTCTAAATATCAATTCAATTCAGGTGCAACAGAAGCAGAGTGCCTGACTCAGCCTTGCACTTGTTTAGTCCCACACCTAAGTATTAAAGGGGATGGAGGTTGGATAAAATATTAAGCCTACCATTGTGGAATAACAATGACACTCCCAAAAGATTTGGTTGAACTCAGAAAACAGAGATTTTGCTGCTGCAGATATGTTCCCCTTCTACTCCACAAAGATTCCAAAAATCCAAACTTAGAGAATCATGCAAATTTCAAGCTAAAAAGGAACTAAGCTATTATCAAGATCCTTTTGTTATAAATGAAGAGCAAATCCATAAAGAAATCATTTGCTGATAGAGGTAGAGAATCAAGTACAGTAAGCAGATGTTATCTGTATTCTGAAGAATTTGTCTTCAAAGGCATTAAAATATGATTAATTTATAGAAATACAACTGCTTATAGTTTCCAACTTTCCAGAAGAAAGCTAATTTTAAATATTCTACCAGGCCAGTATTCTAATTTCAGAATGAAAATAAAAACAGTAGATAGAGCCTTGTGATTCTTCTCATAAAAACCATTCTAGGCTGCCATCGCTGAAGGAACTATACAGATCATAATGCAAACTCCTCATTTTACAGATGTCACATATCAGGCTGGTGTCACAATTGAAACCAGGATATTGACCCCTAACTTGCAAATCGCTGCACTTTCCCCTGCCTCTCTTCCAGTTGACTTTTGTGACAGGCATGGTGTATAGCTCTCTAGATTTTCCCTGTCCCTTGCCTCTTGCCATTAAGTTCTAGCTTTTGACTAAGAGCATGCTAGGCCCCAGACCTACCTGCTGAAGCTACAGAAGATAGAGAAGATCCCCAGGACCATGTTGGCCAAGGATAAGGCATTGGTAAAATCCTTCCAGGACAAATCAGACATCCGGAACTGGCTCTGTTCATGGCTCGAGGAGAAACTGGTGCGTTTTCCTGGGGTCCAGGAAAGAGAATCAATGGGTTCCCAAGTCAAAGAATACAGAGAGGCTCCCAGAGCTGTAATGGTTCCTGTGCCTTCAGACCTTGTCCCAAAACAGTATCCTCCCCCATACTCTTTTCACTGACAGTATAAGGAGGAAACACAGGAAGCAAAGACAAAGGTGGTGAATGAAGATTTAGTCTTAAGAAACCTCGAAAGTAGAATGGGTGAATTCACACACCATATTTTTTCACTCCCTCTGGTTCACTCCTGTCTCGTGGCATATCAACATTCCTCTCGTCCACTGAGTGACCCTCCAGGTAACCCCAAAGCTTCCAGCTGAGAGATGGTCCTTGTCAAAAACCAAGGACTAGTCTGAAGAAGAAGTGGAGTCAAGAGGCCCTTTGTGCTGTAGGTTAGGTTTACTCCCTCAGCAGCTTAGTGCGGAGGGCCTCAGAATAGCAGGCTCACCTCCAGCAAGAAAAGAAAGGGAAGATATGAAAAGAACATGCACAGCACTTCATAGTTCACCCTGCACCTCCCACTATACTCTCACTTCTGGTCCAGGCCACTTCAGAAGCTGGTACAGAGAAATGGAGATATTTTCCCAAAGTCACACATTGAGTAAGTAGAACCAAATCATACTTGCTTAATGCTAAGTTTGGTGCTGCTTCTGCTGGGGGCAGAGATTATGGTGGGAAGATGTATGGGGGCCAGGACAGTATGGCACAAGCCTCCCTGTGTAGGAGTAGATGTTTTCCAGGTCACTGGCTCCTGGTGGGAAGCAGCCCACCCTGCCCATCTGTTCATATCTTGGCTCTGTTTTTGCTCTAAGACCAAACATATGTACTTCTTACACATAAACTGTTCGTAAAACAGAGACCTGGACTTCTCTGACACAGATAAGCCCTACTGGTTAGGGTAAACACACCAACCTGGGTTTCAGTGAAGTACTGAAGTACCAAAGTGTTCTTATGTGTGCTCCCTCATTTAATCCGCACCTGATTGGAGGCTGAGGCTCTGTCTCCAGCCAGTCCCTCTGGACTGGCTCAGACCCTCTGGTCTGAGCAAGAATTGAGACAAATCACATTCTTTTTTATTTTGGTCAGTCATGGGGCTTGAACTCTGGGCCTGGGCGCTGTCCCTCAGCAATTCAGCTCATGGCTAGCACTCTACCACTTGAGCCACAGTGCCACTTCTGGTTTTCTGATGGTTTATTGGAGATAAGAGTCTCACAGACTTTTCTGCCTGGGCTGACTGTGATCCTCAGATCTCAGCCTCCTGAGTATCTAGGATTACAGGCATGAGCCACCAGCGCCCGACTCACATTCTTTTCCATAAACTTTACCACCAAAATGTCAGAAGCAGGGAGAGACCACACAGGTTTGCAATTGAAGTTCCTCCAGGCAGTACTTCAGGGTTCACAACTCTCACAGGCAGCCTTATTCACCAAAGGAATCAAGAGCTGTGTGGCCAGAGCCATCAGAATTAAGACCTTCTGCCAGTGCTGGTGGCTCATGCCTGTAATTCTAGCTACTCAAGAGGCTGAGATCTGAGGGTCATGGTTCAAACTAGCCAGAAAAAGCTGGAAATAGCACTGTGGCTCAAGTGGTAGATGCTAGCTTTGAGCAAAAGAAGCTTAGGCCCTGAGTTCAATCCCAGAAAAAGAAAAGAAAAGAAATGAAAAGAAAGAAAGAAAGGAAGGAAGGAGGAAAGAAAGAAAGAAAAAGAAAGAAAGAAAGAAAGAAGAATTAAGACCTTCTTATGCCAGGGCCCTCCAAATGCTAATTCAGGAAACTATACCTGGAGAAAGCTGTGAGGGGCGGGAGAAAAGGAATAGATGCCTCTCTAGGACATCTCTATGACCATACTACAACCATTTCCCCTGGTTTTCAAGACTAACCTTCATCTGTACTATATCACAGCTGTTTTATTTTACTTCATTTTTAATGACACTAGGTTTTGAACCCAGGGCCTCATGCTTGCTAGGCAATGGTTCTACCATGTAAGCCACACCACAGCTATTCTTGCTTTAGTTTATTTTTTAGATAGGATATCACACTTTTTCCCAGATCTGGCTCCAGACCACAACCCTTCTTATTTCACCTCCCAAACTGCTGGGATTACAAGCCTGGGCCACCCCACCTGACCCCAGCTGTTTATTTTTAATTAATTAATGATTAAGTAGATTAATCATCTTAGGATGATTAGGATGCCATTGCTCTGTCAGGAAAAAGGTTATCTCCACTTTCCAGGTAAGGCAAAGAAGACCCAGAGGAGCCGGGCGCTGGTGGCTCACGCCTGTAATCCTAGCTACTCAGGAGGCTGAGATCTGAGGGTCGCGGTTCAGAGCCAGCCCGGACAGGAGAGACCGTGAGACTCCTATCTCCAATAAACCACCAGAAAACCGGAAGTGGCACTGTAGCTCAAGTGGTAGAGTGCTCGCCTTGAGCTGAAGAGCTGAGGGACAGCGCCCAGGCCCAGAGTTCAAGCCCCACGGCTGACCAAAAGAAAAGAAGAAGACCCAGAGGAGATGACCTAGCTCAAAGTCAACCTGGAAGTGGCAGGATAAGACTCAAAAGTTAATGCCTTAAGTTTTCTTTCCTCAGTGCTCTATCATCTCCTAAACAACACTACTGAACATTGCAATGGCCTGAGCTACAGAGTAGAACAACCTGGGTTCTCTGCCTTCAACAACTCTAAGAGGAGCTGGGCACCGGTACCTCATGCCTGTAATCCTAGCTACTCAGGAGGTTGAGATCTGAGGATCGTAGTTCAAAGCCAGCCCAGGCAAGGAAAGTCTGTGAGATTCTTATCTCCAATTAACTACCAGAAAACTAGAAGTGGTGCTGTGGCTCAAGTAGTAGAGCACTTGCCTTGAGCTGAAGAGCTCAGGGACAACACCCGGGCCTAGAGTTCAAGCCTCATGACTAAAAAAAAAAAAAAAAAAGAACTTGAGAGGTTATCCAGAGAAATGAGACTTATATACAGACACTACTCACAGTGGTGTCTCATCTTACAGATAGGAAAAATGGAAAAATGAGGTTTCAGGATGGCTAATTCAGTTATCCCAGTATATGGTGGGGCCAGCACTGGAACTAGATCTCCTCTTTCTGAATTAAATGCTATTTCAGCATAATGCATGGGTCCCAGAAGTGAGAGGATGTGGGATTGAGAATAAAAGTCATACATATCTACAAAAATAAGGAATTATCTGTTTAGACAGCAAATATTTGTTCAAGATTTGGTGCATGGTTGCTTGAGATAAATATTTGACTCTAGTCTTATCTCTCATCAGACATGAATTCAACCCCACACAGAAAAGAGGACATGAGTGCCAGGCACCAATGGCTCATATCTGTAATCCTAGCCACTCAGGAGGCTGAGATTTGAGCATCACAGTTCAGAGTTCAGAGACAGCAAGGGTAGGAAACTCCATGAGACTCTTATCTCCAATTAACCACTGGAAATAGAGCTGTTGTTCAAGTGGAAGAGTGCCAGCCTTGAGTGAAAAAGCTAAGGAATAGTACACAGGCCCTGAGTTCAAGCCTCAGGACCAGCATGTGCTCATGCATACATGTACACACGTGCGCACACACACACACACACACACACACACACACACACACACACACACACACACACGAAAAGCTAGAACTAGGCCACTCAGGGAGCAGAGAAGCCTACACAGCCCTGGCCTTCAGAAGGTAGATGTCACACTCTAGCTTTTTGAATGACCACAGGATAGAATCCTTTACTTTTTCTGGGAACCTCCCTAGGCTCTTGGGCTGGGCAGTGGTCCTCTTTGGGAACCCTGACACCCTATGGGGCCTGTAGGTGCCCCTCCTCTGTGAGGTCATATTCTTATGCTCACCTGAGACCCTTTGCACTTTGGATTGGCATTGACTACCATGTTTTCCTTCTCTGATTTTGGAAGTGCAACATGAGTGCAGACAGTAGTCTTCTGGGTCCAGCATGAGGCCTGACAATAGAAAGAATTTGACATGATTCATATAATATGCCTCTCTAGTCTCCCCATATCCTCTTACTGCATTATAATCTTAGAATCTGGACTCTTCACCCTGTTTTGTGCTTTTTGAAGCCTTCTCAGATGAACTGTCAGCCATTCCCTTCCATACAGCCAGCAGCTGTTCAATCATTAGGATCTTCTATTTATTTATTTAATCTCTTTTCTTGAACTAGGAGCATGGCTTAAGTGGTAGGCTGCCTGTCTTTCAATGTATGAGGTTCTGAGTTCAAAACTCAGTACTGCCAAAAAAAATTCCCTTTCTTTTTTCTTTTGTTTTTTCCAATACCTGGCACAGGCCAGGCCTTGTGTTTTTCGGGGGGCGGGGTGGAGGGAAGACCCATGAGGCACCAAGCATTATTATGGGGCACAGTTGCAATTCTAGCATTCCGGAGGCTGAGGCAGGAGGATTGTAAATTCAAGATCAGCCTAAGTTACATAGTGAAATCCTGTCTCTCTAAAAAAATCATCCCCCTTCTACCCCTCCTACATCCCCCCCCCCCCCCCAAAGCTAGAGTCTGGAGTCTTCAGCCCTGTGAAGGAACAAAGGCTATATTGGGCAAGGGCATGAACCAGCGCCCTGGCTGCACCCAGGGAACTTAATCGGGGAAAACACAGGGAGGAGAATGGGCCCCAGTCCCACCGGCTATCTGACTGCAAGTGAAGCTGACAGGGAGGGAGCCGCTGGGGCTGGTGCCTAGGGGACTGGAAATTACAGCTACCGCCCATGGGCAGGGCAGACGGTGAAGCCTTTGAATGGAGGATGAGAAGAAACGTGTGATGAGGGTGGGAGGAAGTGGCGGGGCACCGTGAAGGCAGGTGAGTTGAGCATGACTGGGGTTTCCAGGAAAAAGAAGCAGGGGTGCTAAAATGAGGGCGTGGTGGGCTTTCCAGCAGGGGCGTGGCTCTCACCAAGTTCACTTCCTCTTCAACTCCTTCCGCGACCATCCCTATCCCTTCCCTGGGGGCAGAGGTCAGACCCCCAGCCCCCACCTCCAGCTATCTGGAGGTCTGCCCAGGGTCCAGCTTGCCCTTGGGACCATCCAGGAGATGGAGGGAGATATGTGGGCTGGCTGGGCTTCCCTTCTTGGAACATTGGCCTCAGTGGATGCTTACCTGGGGACCAGACATTCCTAGGTGGGGGTGGGGCTGCCTGTGCGGTGGAGGAGGGCCAGCCCAGGTGGAGGCTCTCCGCTGAGACCAGCCTCTTACCCCGGCCTCTTAGCTCACAATCCCGAGGACAGGGGAGGGGCGGAGGACATTTACACAAAGATAAGGTGGCGGGTTGGGTGCAGGAAGGGGTCTTGGGATAGGGGAGAACAGCGGGCTCTCTCCATCTTGACGAGTCTGAGCAGCTCTTGGTGCAAATTCGCTGATGCAGAATGCCTGGCGAAGGTCGAGGGTCGGGGAGATTGAGTCGGGGAGGACAAACCTATATAAGGGATGATGGGTCCACATTAAGTGTCTCCTCGAAAACCAGCTCCATGGTGGTTTTCCTGCTTAGGCATACAATAATCTTTTTTGTTGTTGCTGCCAGTGCTGGGGCTTGAACTCAGGGACTTGTGCTGGGCTTTTTTTTTTTCCATAGCTGGCCTCCACCTTATGAGCCACACCTCCACTTCCGACTTTTTACTGGTTGATTGCAAAGTCTAGGGGATTTGCCTGGGCTGGCTGCAAACCGCAATCCTCAGATCTCAGCCTCCTGAGTAGCTAGATTACATGAGCGACCCTTTGGAACCTAGTTACCAGTAGTCTTTGCTAAACTTGGTAATTGCCTTAACCAGGAAAGCGAAATGGCACTACCTAGTGGTCAGTGCAGGGAATACATCTTATTGAGCAGAAGTTTTCTTTTGAATCACTCTTCTAGGGCAGTGTTTGGAAATGTCGGAAGTGAGGGTGACCAGGCACTGGTGGTTCACGCCTGTAATTCTAGCTACTCAGGTGACTGAGATCTGAGGACCACAGTTCAAAGCCAGCCCAGGCAGGAAAATCTGTGAAACTCTTATCTCCAATTAACCACAGAAAACTGGAAGTAGAGATTGCTAGCCTTGAGCGAAAGAGCTCAGGATAGCCCCAGCCTTGTGTTCAAGCCTCATGACTGGGAAAAAAAAAAGTAAGGATGATTTACCTTTTCAAAAGATCAACCTAATGACTGTAAGCCCAATGAACTGGAGAAGCTGACCTGAGGAAAAAGCAGGAATGCTAGCTGGGACTTTACCTTGTCAGAGTGAAAGTCAAGTCTAGATCCTTGATGTTCCTTCAACATCATCACATTTAACCATTTCATAATGCTGCCTCTTTTATGCACAAATAAATTCTCTATTTCTCTCTTAACTGAGCACTGCAGCAGACAGAAAAAGGTGTTAAACAATGCAATGAACCCTGCCTCCTCATACTGGTGTCCTTTTATAGTTTAACAAAAACCTTAGACTGTGAATCTAAAAACAAAGAGTTACATCTTTTAATTACCAAAAAAGAACAAACAGATGTGTAATTTCTTCCCTAGAGTGTGGGCTTATGTAAAGATTCATACCTAAGCTTGCAACCTCCATCCTGCTAGCAGACTCTTTCCAACTGGATGAAGAAAGATGCCATGCTGTAGAAGTTCATGTGATAAGAAAGTGACGGCAACCACCATGAACTAGTGAAGAACTGAAATTCTGCCAACAACACCAGTAAGCTCAGAAGCAGATGGTAAGGCTTTCAGAGCCCAGCCTGAGCTTACTTGATAGTAGCCTTTACGGGGTTTTCCAGGGAGAAATCCTGAAGCAGAAGACCCAGGAAAATTATGCTGAACATGTGACCTATAAACTATAATCTAATACACATTTGTTGTTTTAAACCACTGAATCTGTGGTCATTTGTTGTTTTTTTGTTGGTGTTTTTTAAAATAAAACATCTGCTTAAAATGTGTCATTATATACAAATGAGAACATTGTAAAGACCTGGGGGACTTTCTACAGGCAGAATCAACTGCTGTGCCATTCACATCTCTTCCCGCTGGCCCTGCAGCATCCCAGAAAGAGCCTTTTACAGTTCCATTCCATAAAATACCCCACAAAATTGAGTGACCAAGTAGACCTTACTATATTTTTTGTGCTGGTCTTGGACTGTTTGTAGCTCACAAGGAATAGAGCTTATAAGGAAAGATTGTGAACAGGATAGAGTATTAAACAAGTAGATCAACACAAGGAATATTCATCTTCAGAAAGAAACTTGAGCATTGTGAATTCAAGTACATCCATGCTGAACATACCATAAATTTAGCTAGTTAGGTTGAATAAACGAATAAAGTCCTAGAAAGAGCCCAGTCAGGAAAAAAGAGTAATCTAGCCAAAAAGCTCATTCAGTTTATGAATTAGGAGTTTCAATCTGGGTTGCCTCATAATCTGAGAAAGGAGGATGTCTCTTTTTCTTTTTCTTCTCTCTCTCTGTCCTATCTCTCTTTCACAATTCCTTAAAGCTGCTATATTATTACTGGATTTGTCCTGCCATCTGTGGATGAACTCAACCTCTCTGCCTCAGGGAAGCTACACAGTGGATTATGCAGTAGTTCAGTGGTGGCCTTCTATATCTCTTCCAACTCTGAAACTCTATGAAGCTTAAGGATGACTGCTCTACTCCACCTGAACCTAAATGTGCCCTTTACCACTGCCTCGGATTCTCTGACCACTTTTCTTCCTAGGTAGAAAGGGCAGAAAGATAAGCCAGCCCTTGCCAATAGCCCAGAAACTTCATTCACTTTGATCCAGCCACACTGAGGTTTTATTTGGTTGTTTGTTGTGGTTTTAATCATCCTCATACATGTAATGTTGTGATTCTTGGGTGAATTTGAAGCTGGCATTACATCAGCTGTGAGATAGCTCAACCTCAGTCTGAAATAAGACTGAAAACCGGCTCCTCTGGAAAATGACCCACCAACCTGACTGAAATGAAGACTCTTCCTTCTCTAATACTTTGGCTTAAGGGAAGAACCGCTGGAGATGAATAAAGAAAGTACATTAGCCAATCCTCTGAAATGGACTGGCTAAGTATCTGTGGCCCCAAGCAGATCCCCAGAAAGAGTGTTGCAATTCCTTACCATGCCATCTGAGAGCAACACTAACAACGTTTATATTCTATCCAAGATGGAGCTGATTTACCTATATGTCCCTGGTTCTCATGACTTCTATCATCAAAGCAGAGAATGGGGCAACAAGGAAGTGACAGGACTCCATCATGAGAGATGCTGATCAGAGTCCACATTCAGTGAGTTAGTCCCTGGAAGGTGGGCTCAGTGTTTGGGGGCAGGGCTACTGGCTGGCTTAGCAGCTTGTCCATTATGCTGATTTTAGCGTCTTGCTTCTCAATGTCCTCATATGGGGTCCAAGACAAATCATGCTGCAGCTTATAGGCACCAAGGAACTCATGTGGACAGCTTGTTCCCCACTCCTAAAGAAGCAAAGGAGGGCAGAAAGTAAGCAAACTAGATTCTCTTCCTACTTAAACTACTGATTTCTTTTGGGGCTTTTTGCTTCAGATTAGTTGGAACTATCTTTAGAAAGCAGTTATGTTATCCATCCGATCCTCCCCTGGTCACAGACATGAACATCTTTTTTTTTTTTTTTTGGGTCCGGTGGTGGGGCCTGAACTCTGGGCCTAGGCACTGTCCTTCAGCTCTTCAGCTCAAGACTAGTGCTCTACCACTTGAGTCACAGCGCCACTTCCGGGTTTTTTCTTTTTGCTTATGTGGTGCTGAGGAATCAAACCTAGGGCCTCAGGCATGCAAGGCAAGCACTCTACCACTGAGCCAACTTTCCCAGCCCGACATGTACATCTTTTAGTGATGCCTGGATTCTTTTTTTTTAATTTAATGTAATAATTTTTTTTTTGTTTATTTTATTTAATTTATTTTGTTGGTTGTGGGGACTGAACTCTGGGCCTGGGCACTGTCCCTCAGCTCTTCAGCTCAAGGCTAGTGCTCTACCACTTCAACCACAGTGCTACTTCTGGCTGTTTCTGCTTATGTGGGTGCTGAGGAATTGAACCCAGGGCCTCATGCATGCAAGGCAAGCACTCTACCACTAAGCAACATTCCTAGCCCAGTTTGTTTATTTTTTCATTTGTTTTTTGAGAAAAGGTCCTGCTACATATATAGCCCATAATGGCCTTGAACTCACCATGTAGCCCAGGTAAGCCTTGACCTGGCAAACCTCCCATTAGCCTCCCAAGTGCTGGGATTACAGGTAGGTACCACCACACCTGCCTTAATAGTCTAAAAAATCATTTACCAATCCAGGTGCCTACATTTTCACACACACATACTAAAAATTTCTCATAGGATGGAGTCGATTTGGAGGTAAAGAATAAATGTTCTTACCTCTGGAGAAATAATGGAAAAATATTGTTGACCACTCTCTCGTTTATAAAGGTAGTAAATGTTGCCAGGTTTTTTCACCATATTGCAAGCTACATGGTGCAAGTCAGCATCTCTGTGAGCTTCTTCCAGTACCTGAGATTAACAGAAGTATACTAAATAAAGGATTGGAAATAACAGGTACTTATACACAGAGATCAAAGTTGAACCAAGAGAATATAAACCAGTCAAACAGAGCAATAGTAAGCAATGAGACTGAGGTAATAATAGAGCCTTCCAACAAAGAAAAGGACCTGATGTCTTTAGTGTGGTGATGTGAAGGGAGAGCCCCAACAGGAGACCCCACAGGTTCCTTCTAAGATGCTGTTCTCAGAAAGCATTACTGAGCTGAGCACTAGTGGCTCATGCCTATGACCCTAGCCACTCAACAGAATTAGATCTGAGGATCAAAGTTTAAAGGCAGCCTGGGCAGATAAATCCCTGTGATTCTTATCTCCAATTAATAAGCAAAAAGCCAAGATGTGAAGGTATGGCTCAAGTGACAAGGCACCAGCCTAAGTGAGAGTGAGAAGCCCTAAGTTCTAGCCCCAGTAATGGTGCTTGGATGTGCGCACGCATGCGCACACCCATATACATGCACACACAAAAGAAGGCAATACTAGTTTCCTGAAAGAAGTTCCTTTTTTATTCATTTTATTCATACTTTATTGATTTGGGTTTTTTGTTTGTCTTTTTGAAGCTCTGACTGGCTTCAAACTTGTGATTTTCTGGCCTCCACACTCTTAAGTGCTGGGATTACAGATACATACTACCATGCCCAGCCTAAAGCAAAGAGTTCTTGAGAGATCAAGAATGAAAGCATGAGCAAACATGTGCTGTTATAAGAGCCTGAACCTGACCCCTGAATCTCTGGCTCCTTGTTTAGAGAAATGCTCTCTCCTCACACATATGTTCCTGCTGAGACTAGATGCAGTCAGGAAGGTTCTCCCTAAGCAGAGCCATGCCAGCAATTTTTCTCTGAAACCTCCAAAACTGTCAGCTAAATAAACCTTTTTATAAAGTTAGCCTGCCTCAGATATTTTATCATAGTTAACACAAAACCTCTTAGGCTCACTCCTATTTTACTAGAATACTCTACATGGCTAGGAGGAATAAGTTACAGTTATTGCAAGCAAGTTCAGCCAATCATGTGAACTAAATGAAGAAGATGAAAGCCTCTCTGAAAAGGTCTCTCTTACCTTTCTGGCTTGTTCCTGCAAATGTTGGATTTGCTCAGCTATGACTGTCAGCTTGTTGGTAGCATTTGCTCGGATGAACTCATCAGCCTGTAGGTGAGAAAAAAACAAACTATTGATACTTCTATGATGTTCTCATTTAGAGTCCAGTGTGACTAAAGTACAACTCCTATTTTCACTGTTTCTATGGAAATTCCCACCCACCCAAAGGCCTAGCTCAAATAACACTGCTTAGGAAATGCCTACCCTGTCATCATCCCACATCACAGAATAAAGTGCTCCTTCTAGTCTGTTTCTATTGCTTTTTACCTGAACTCTAATAGTACTGAACTTCTTTGGCCTTCCAACATGTCCCACTCTCTAAATCCCAAATATAATGAATATCTATACTCTCCCTCCGTCTAATATATTTCCTTGGTTTCTCATTTCCTTTCTCATGTCTAAATATTTCTGAAATCAGGAAAGGGTATTACCATACATATCAAAAGACATTTGTGATATAGCTCTTATCATTTGCTAATGAAGAATTTGATATGTATCTGTTAATATGACTGTTACCTCAGTTAGATTATTATAGCATATCTACTTAAATTTCTAGTGGCATACAATTAGATTAAGAAAAGGAAATCAGAAGTAAATTAGGAAGTTAAGAAACACTACAAGAATTTGCTGGTTAGTTGAAGAATCTTAAAATAAAGTCAGATATATGCCAATATTATAAATAAAGACAAATTATATATGTAAATGATATCAATCATTTTCACAAATTCCAGCAATTACTATGACAGACACACTAGGCACTCCACACATTAGCAAACAGAGAGGTCTCTACCTGAGTTGTCTGTACTACTATAGTCTAGTGAAACTACCCAACAAAAATGTGGAGCAAGTCATATGTTTAAATTTTCCAGTAACCACATTAAAAGAAAAATAGATAAAACTAACTTTATATTTATTTTAATCCAATATAGCAAAAAAATATTTCAACATGTAATCATCATTTTTAAAATTGTTATGAGCATTGGTGGCTCATGCCTATAATCCTAACTTTATTCAAGTGGCTGAGATGTGAAAGTTACAATTCAAAGCTAGCCCAGGCAGAAAAGTCCCTGATAATATCATCTCCAATTAACCACCAAAAAGCCAGAAATGGAGCTGTGGCTCAAAGGGTAGAGCACTAGCCTTGAGCAAACAAGCTCAAGAGAAGCACCCAGGCCCTGAGTTCAGGTCCCAGGACTGGCACAAAATATTCTAATGAATTGATAATGAATAAATGAGTGTATTGAGTAAAAATAAAAGCTATGGGCTGGGAATGTGGCTTAGGTAGAGTGTTTCCCTTGCATGCATGAGGCCCTGAGTTCGATTCCTCAGCACCACATAAGCAGAAAAAGCCAAAGTGACACTGTGGCTCAAGTGGTAGAGCACTAGCCTTGAGCTGAAAAGCTGAGGGACAATGCTCAGGTCCAGAGTTCAGGGCCTATGACTGACAAAAAAAAAAAGTTAAAAAAGCCAACCCATGCCTGGCACAGGTGACTCATACCTGCTATCACTGTTACTCAGGAAACTGGGATCTGGTAGTTCGAAGCTAGGCCAGCCAGGAGACTCTTATCTCCAATTAACCACCAAATAAAGCTGGAAGTGAAGCTATGGCACAAGTGGTAGAGCATTAAAGCTCAGGGATAGCACCTAGGTCCTGAGTTCAAGTCCTAGGGCTTGAACACACACAAAACAAATCCACATATTCAAACTACCCCAAATATACTTAAATTCCAATAATGAATCAATTATCAAGTTTTATTTTTTATTTATTTTTATTATTTTATTATTATGTCTAGTCCTGGGGCTTGAACTCAGGGCCTGGGTACTGCCCCTGAGCTTCTTTTGCTCAAGGCTACAACTCTACCACTTCAGCAACAGTGCCACTTCCGCTTTTACTGTTTATGTTGTACTGAGGAATCGAACCCAGGGCTTCATGCATGCTAGGCAAGCACTCTGCCACAGAGCCACACTCCCAGCCCAATTATCAAGTTTTAAAACTCAAAATATTTAAAGTTAAAATTCAAGTAGGGCACTGAGTAGTAGCTACTCAGGAGGCTGAGATCTGAAGACTGTGGTTCAAAGCCAGTCCAGACAAACAAAATCTTGAGATTCTTATCTCTAATTAGCCAACAGAAGGCTGGAAGTGAAGGTCCGGTTCATGTGGTAGAGCACCAGTTGCAGTTGAAAAAGCAGAGCAAGAC